TATTTATACAAGAATAACATATTTAGCGAAAATTTAAATGTTAACCTTTCATTAATGATAATTATTATATGTCTTTCCACATGATTTAAAATATCTATTTAAAATGTTAAAATATTAAAATAAACCATCTATTAAAATTTAATTTTAATTAAGTATTAAATATATATTTGGAATTTTCGGATTCTCTGAAACTGTTATATATATAAATATTATTCGCCTAAAACGATGCAAATCGTTCCATCCGCAAACATAAACAGTCGTTGTTTAGCCCGATTATATATAATATATAATTTGCATAAGTATGCACCTTTCTACACAGATAATTTATGAACTAACATTAGCCACGTAAACAATATGTTATACCGTATACGTTATGCAAAGCGAGTACAAATATATGCACAAGATTAGATCGTGTCTAAATTATAGGAGAATTTTCGTATTATAAATACCTAAACATTTAGGTCAAAGAATTCCGTAAAAGGAAAGTTTTATTCTTTTATATAGTTAAAAGACTCGATTAAAAAATCGCTGCTTTGTATTTGATTTGTAGATGTTATCCATTTAAGGACAGTCTAGCCTTGTGTTACGGTGAGCGATCTCTTGTCTTCACAAATGTGCAGGATGCGCATTATTATTCTTCTAAGCCGCAATCATTTGTTCGAAGTCGAGGAAATGCATTTCCTCGTTCTTCACATCCGCACATACGTCTTAGCGATGGTGGATGTATATAACGAAAATCCGCAGCTCAAAATCCTATCTCTCATGTTACTGTAGTTACGAAATGTGACGTGAAAAAGAAATTATTATTGTGTAACATTTCGTTAAACCAGACAAACAGCGTCGTTTTTATGGCTAGACATACGTGATTATTTATTTATGTGCAAAACATAAAATGTTATCTGATAATTTATTTCTCTCAGCCTAATTGAATTCCTACGTTTGTCATTTTTAGCTTCTCTTCGAAACTTTTAATATCCGTTGAGTTTACGATGATATCATTAATTAGCACGTTACGTGGGAGGCATGATATATGTTACCGTTGCCCAAAAGAAAATTTGAATTACTTCGAAGGTCCCGTATAGTTAATTCTAAATGTGCGCGCGAATTACATTCCGCTACAAATTTCGTTTCGCGCAACGTGCGCAGTTTGCCTAATGAAGTATTCGCACGGGGCACGAATCATGGACGTGGATAATCTCGATTTCGTTGTCGAGACTCGTAACTCGAAATGTACACGTTATACAAATATTATAGATTCCTTCTTCCATGCGAAAGCCCGTATATTGACATATGGAAATT